ACAATGGATTGCGAGTGAAGCCTGGGCAACAGCAGCTGTACTTCAGACGCTCAGCTTTATACATTACCTTGGAGGCACACTGGGAGTAGCGATTCGTCGAGGAGACATACCAGGACTCAAGGAATTCCTCTTACAAATACAACCTGATAAAAATGACAACTATGGAAAAAATATGGTAGAATTGGTTGGGTTTTAAAGAAGTATCCCAGGAAGACATATTTAATAACGTTTCTGAAAATTGTCTTGTGTCCCAGGTCAGCCAGTTTTGGGAACACACATTCAGATGTAGATTTAATCCAGCAGATATAACTGAAGATGATGAAGTTCTATGCACCGGAGAGGAAGATGTTAGAGGGGCAGAAGCTGAGTTTTTGGATCTCTCTAACCTTAGGCCTGAGTACAATGTTTAYAAGGCTGTGTATGCGCTGGCATATGCTCTTGATGCCATGCTGCAGTGTGAGTCAGGAAAAGGGCCTTTCAGTGGGAACAGCTGTGCCAGTTTGCAAACTCTGGAACCATGGCAGGTGAGATATCTGCAAACAGCTGACAAAAATAAAAGATTTTAAAGACAAACACTTTAAAAGAAGATTGAATTCACTGTATAATCACAGTAAGAGATTARATCAAATCTCTGGGAATGTTTATATAAATCTTTACTTGATCTTCATCACTGTCCTCTTCTCTGTTCCTTTTTCTGGTATGTAGCTTTTACACTATTTGCAAAGTGTCAACTTCACCACTTTGTTTGGTGATCAAGTGTCATTTGATGAGAATGGTGATGCTCTACCAATATATGATGTGATGAACTGGCTGCCRCTCCCTGATGGAAGAGTTGAAGTTCAGTATGTGGGTGAGGTAAAGAGGACTGCACTCAGAGGTGAAGAACTCACACTTGATGAAAACAAAATCTTCTGGAACTTTGAATCAAAACAGGTTAATTATGCATGTTGAGACAATTTCTTGACTGTAAAGTAGAAAACTATCTATACTATATGGAATGACAAATTGTTGATTTATATTTTTCATTTAGCCTCCACGTTCAGTGTGCAGTGAAAATTGTCCTCCAGGTACCCGAGTGGCCAGAAGAAAAGGACAACCTGTGTGTTGTTTCGACTGCATTTTATGTTCTGAAGGAAAGATCAGTAACAACACTAGTATGTGTTCTAATATATTTAATGAAATAATAAAGCAGTTTTTCTTGATTGTTTCAACACATTTTCTGATACTTGAGACCAAATTACCACAATATGTAGCTTAAGAATCAATACAATCAATAATCGCTAGTTCTGCAACTGAAAACACAGTTCTGCTTTACACACAAATTTTAGTTCGAAAACACACTTTTTAAAAAAAAAACACTACACACATTTTCTGCATTTTGGCACATTTTTAATGAAATAGCCCTTGTCACAAAGAATACATTGTTATTCAAAACTCTAAAATTAGTTGTTCTTTTATGCCCACCGTTCGTCACATGGGCAAACACCTGTCCCACAGATTTGCATGTAGCAATCAGAACTACGTATAGCTTTAAAGTGTGATAAAGAAGAGGAGGATGGTGAGAACATGGAAGGACAAGGACTGTAATCTCTGATGWCWTCAGAGCCACTTTGRTTACGCATGTAAAAATATATAGGGGTGCAACTATRCATGTATCTGTATCAAACCGTTCAATACAGTACTTTGGGTTCARTGCACACTTGTATCAAACAAWACAGATTTTTTAATTTTATTTGATCAACTTGTCTTCTGAAGATGCTCTGTGTTGAAGTCTCAGAGGATCTACGTTTAACTACTCCACCTAGGCTGCATTGTCGRGCATAAATCCACTGAGAAACTTGCTKTTTCAGCAACATTTAATTTTAAAAATGTACTTTTGAAGTTGAAGAAATGTTCTTAATTTCAATAACTTAAGAAGGGCACGTAAACTTGCCTTTTTTGTATCAAAAATATATTGAACCGTAAGACTAAAGTATCGAATCGAACCGAATCATGACTTTTCTGTATTGCTGCACCCCTAATACATACAGATAGATAGATAGATAGATAGATAGATAGATAGATAGATAGATAGATAGATAGATAGATAGATAGATAGATAGGTAGGTAGGTAGGTAGGTAGGTAGGTAGGTAGGTAGGTAGGTAGGTAGGTAGGTAGGTAGGTAGGTAGGTAGGTAGGTAGGTAGGTAGGTAG